TCTTTTTATATATATATATATATATATATATATATATATATATATATATATATATATATATATCACCTATCTGTTTAATTATCTGGCTAGTATCTCTTTATCTATCTATCTCTCTTTCTAGCTCTCTTACTCTCTCTTACTTTCCCCCACCCCTCTATCTCTCTCACACTCACTCGCTCACTCCTCGCTCTCTTACTCGCTCGCTCAAAACTCTCTCGCTCTCCCCCATCTACACCCACAGCTCACATTGAATAGCTGACAAAACACGTGAAGAAATCATTTCATTTTGCCATCATTTTCTCGATGACGTCATTGTTCTTGCCGTTGGGGGCTGTAATAGTTACTCTCTGGCTCCTTTCTTTCCGCTTAAATCAATTCTCCGCAATCGTCCCTTGCGGCACACCTAGACCCTTACAAGATTTCCGCGGCACACCTAGACCCTTCCCAGATTTCCGCGGCACACCTAGACCCTTCCCAGATTTCCGCGGCACACCTAGACCCTTCCCAGATTTCCGCGGCAAGCCACAATTAAAACATGAAGTAACAAAACCGATCTGTTTCTCTGCTGTTTTTAAGTTCTAACATTCAAATTTGTGTAGTTTTTTTTTAATAATTATTTTTTTTATTTTTTTTAAATTTGTTTCCTTGTAGACATGAAATGACCACGACAAAGTACATCTTTCATACCAAGCACTGTGGCGTCAAGTAGTTGTCACCACTTCAAGCGTGTATAGCAAAAGATCAGAACTATAAGCGCGATAATGTTTAAAAACTGTCTTGAACTTTTTTTTTCTTTTTTTTCTTTTCCTTTTATACATCTGCTTTTATCCTTGTTTTAACTGGTCATGTTTTGGTTTAATTTTTATTTATTTTTTTAAAACTATGTAAGTATTCTCATTTAACGCAAAGAAACACTCTTAACCAAACAATCAATTAAAATATTATTTTGATACAAATGAAAAAACTTGACAAAAAGGCATATCAATTTCAATTGAAACTAGACTTTTTAAAAAAATATTTTTGTTTCAACATTCAGAAAGGTGGGAATAATAGTATGTGAAAGTTAATTTAAGAACCTCCCCCCTTTCCCACCTTTCCCCCCTTTCCGCGCCAAAAGAAAATTTAAAAAATAATTACTAAATCTATTTATTAATTAAACAAATAAATTGAAGTCTTGTTAAAATGGTTACAACTTAACAAATGCGGTTTTTACAAATCGCTTAAAAAAACATTGAAGGGATATTCTTGTTTCATTGTACTTCTGCTCATATCATAGATTGTACTACTCCTCATTTCATAGATTGTACTACTCCTCATATCATAGATTGTACTGCTGCTCATATCATAGATTGTACTACTGCTCATATCATATATTGTACTACTGCTCATATCATAGATTGTACTACTGCTCATATCATAGATTGTACTACTGCTCATATCATAGATTGTACTACTGCTCGCGCGGAGATGTTTGGCATGGACAGCTCAGCCGGGATTTATCTATCTAGAGCAGGTCTGCACAACTCAAAATGTAAGGCGGGCCGAAATACTTTATGCAAAACTTGTGCGGGCCAAAAGAAACATTACAATAGAATTGTCTGTCCACACCCGTCTGATGAAATTGGCGCTCATTTATAGTTGATACATTAAGGGATCTAAAATAACCAAATAACTCTGAAGTCGTGACTTGTGTTTCATTTTGTGCGTGTTGTTTTTTGTAATTGTTGATCTGAGATCATGTTATAGGGCGACATTGAACGGCGAATGCAATACTCGGTGGCTTCTGTTTGACATTTTAAAGACCCCCCACCTTTTATTGCGGCTGGTTCCCGCATAAATGATACCACAAGCAATTTCAAAAAAAAAACAAAAAAAAAAACTCAGTTATTATTTAACTGTGTTGACTGGAAGACCATCACGACCGTGTTGGTGGAGCAGAGGGCAGCGTTGAACATGGCTTTAGGACCGGGTGGCCGTATTCACCACCTGCGGTACTAGTAACATACACTCTCTGACTGTCGCATAAACTCTCTGACAGTAGCAAACACTCTCTGTCTCTGACAGTAGCATACACTCTCTGACAGTAGCATACACTCTCTGTCAGTATCATACACTCTCTGTGAATAGAATACACTCTCTGTCTCTGTCAGTAGCGCACACTCTTTGTACCTATATAGCAAATTCAGTAGCATCTCCTCATTGAAAGGGAGCTTAGTAAAAGGAGCTTATTCCTAAACACATCAGTTAATCAATCTACTATAGTGAACATCTCACTCTACCATAGTGAACATCTCACTCCACTATAGTGAACATCTCACTCTAATATAGTGAGCAACTCAATCTACTCACTCTACTATAGTGAAACTCTCACTCTACCCACTCGACTATAGTGAACATCTCACGCTACTCCCTCTACTACAGTGAACATCTCACTCTACCACAGTTAAGATGTCATTCTACTATAGTGAACATCTCACTCTACCCTCTCTCTACTACAGTGGGCATCTCTATCTACTCACTATATACTACCTTGACGAGACCAACCAATCCCCCTCTGATGCCTTGCCTTTTAATTATACTTTTTTATTTATATTTTTAACTTAAATTTGCCCTATAGAATCTCCCTGAAGTCGCTGTCGATACTTTGTCGAAACAAAGTCTTCGTTAACTTAAACCAGCTTAATAAACCAGCTTAATATACAACATAATCGATTATGAAGGCAGCCTCGACCATGTCATCGATATCTTAAACCAGATTAATAAACAACAACATAATCGATTATGAAGGCCGCTTCGACGATGTCTTCGATACCTTAAACCAGATTAATAAACAACAACATAATCGATTTTGAAGACAGCATCGACAATGTCTTCCCAGACTCATGGAAGTACTTTTATATATAAATAAAAGTGGTGGCCGAAATAACACAGCGAAACCTGACATTAATTTACAAAAAAAGCACCGATACTTTTCATTTGTAGGTTTTAAATGTCATTTAATTTTTTTTTTTTTTAAATGGCGGTATTCGATGGCTTTTCACTATCAGATTAAAACGATTAATTAAAAAAAAAATTCTGGGACAAAAAAAAAAAAATTATAAATTTTCCGACGACACGATTTTTGTCACAATTTCGTCGACTTTTGTCACTTTTTGTCGACTTTTGTCACATTTCCTCGACTGTCGTCATTATTTCTTCGACTGTCGTGTTGTCACACGTGAGCCTGTCTCTGGGTATGGGTGGGTCCCATCTCAGTTGATGACATGGAGTTAGAGCTCCGTTATGCTGGGTCGAGGGGTGGGGAGGGGTGGGGAGTGATGGGGAACTAAGGTGACCTACATTTAATTGGAATCCCTTGCTTTATAAGAGTGCCTAACTACCGTTACGCACACTACTTTCCTGGCGTAATTAATTTAAAGAAATTTAAAGAACCGTATTTTCTGCTTTTTCATTAGAAAACGGAGTCTTTCTGTTTTAAAGAAGTAAAATAAAATTATGTATTTATTTATACTAAAACTATAATTAGCCCATCTGATATCATGGATAATCCAATCCTCCTTTTCCTACACAGACCTACATATATATGTACATGTGTGTGCGTGTGGGGGGGCGGGGCCTTGCGTGGTTGTTTTTTTTACTAGACTGACCCGTTGTTTTGGACACAACGGGTCTTAACGTGACACTGTATCACGTATTAACTCGGTTGGATCATCTCGAGAAAATAATAATTGAATTAAGGTCATCTGGTCTTGGACCCAGGTAACCATAGCCGTCTGTAATTTGTGTGTTTTTTTGTTGTTTTTTTTTGTTGTTTTTTATGATCTATGTAAACGCCAGGGCCAACGTAATAGGGGGTTGTGAGGAGGACCCTACAGAGATTGAAAGCCGAGTCGACTTCAAATTTAATCTGGTATCGCCCGTGCCAGGTTGCAAATGATCCGTGTGTCGTTTCAAATATGACTCCCGGGGTAATTAGGACTCGAGTAGATGTTTGGGGTTTAAATAGGATAGTGCTTTGTTGTTTTTTTTTTGTTGTTTTTTTTTTTT